AAAAATTATTTAAAACAACAATAAGATAAATAAAGTCAGTAAATACATATACTTCTAAACTACAACAATACAAAGAAAAAAAATATGCATGTCAGTTAAGCTTATTTATAAACCAATCTAAATATTTAACATGTCATTCAAAGAGTACATCAATATCATTTCATATGTATACAACCGTCACATGAGTACCGTCTAAATAATTATACCAGTTAAGATACTTCAATATTAATATACTTTTTCATTTTCGTGCACGGATACCTTAGTGTTCCCCTACTAGTTTTATTAAAGACTGACTCTATTATAATCAATCATGCAGACAAAAACATCCAATAAAAAAATCACTTTTTAATAAAAAAATTATTTCTCATTTGCATAACAGTCAAATCATTCAATATTGGTGTGCACACATATAGTTTCTACAATATGAACAAAAATTATATATAATTCAAAATTATGAGTTTGCAGTAATTTTAATATAGCTAATGATAGTACCAATAAATGTATTTGATATAGACGAAGCAAAATATCACCATGGTATAAGAATATGAGCACACGCCTTGGTAATAGACGTTCTGTTTGCTTTTACCATATTTCATTCAAATTATCACTTATACATTATAAATTATTTAATTATCTGTTAATTATAATTTAATTATCAATTATTGTGATATTAAACTATTTAATATTTAAATATTTTAGATTAGGCTCCGTTTGGAGCCGCTTTTTTACCGCTTCGTGGCCCCGAATCACAAAAATTTATCGTTTGGCTCCCAACGTAGTGACCGAACGAAGCTAAAGCGGGCCGCGGGATCCACCCCGCAGCCCTAACTTTCTGCTCGCTAATATTCTAAGCTACCCTTATTTTTTGTGAAAAGAAGCCTTTAGCGTTCATCGTCCAGTGCCGTCTAACCGTCTCCTTCATCGACGTCGATGCCCTTGCTTCTTCCACGAGACCCCTGTGCCTTCCTCTTCCTTGACCAAGCATGAATCCAAGAAGGCCGAAGCAGGTAAGCGTAAAAACCTCCTCCTCGCTTGTTTTGAATCTCTCTTTTTCCCGGCTTAGAATCCAGGTTAAAATTGTTAGTAGGCCGAGCTCCTTGATTGTGAGTGGCTCCTCCTCATAAAAGGTTGCATGATCCGTGAGCTTCTGGTAGTGAAGATGATATTAAGGAGGGGTTATTTCTCTTTGATTATAGTTGCGCCTAATGTGATTAACACAAAAGAGATGATTTCTTCTTCTAGTGTTTTTTCTTGTTATTTTGGTTTGCAAAAAAAAATCCAAAACATTTTTTCTGATGGAAACACAGTACGTGCATCATTACCCTTGTGGATTTCCAAAATAGAAATCCAAGCATTTGTTTCATTCAAGATGATGCACTCCAACAAGAAATTTGGTGAGGATGTCTGATTGAAAATTCATTATCATGCCCAAAAAAACAATTTTTTGAAAGGGTTGGGATTTTTCATATTTTAGGAATATAAATTTATGCACAACAATAAAGTTATGAAATACATAGGAAAAAAATATACAATAAAAGAAAAATAAAACTATCAGTTACTTGAGATGTATTTATGTAATTCTGGATTGTTATCATTAAAGTTTGGACTTAACGATAGTCATGTACTCCCCTGAAATCTTTTTTTATGTAAAAGATGAATTCTTGTTGTAATATATAGCACAAATGAGTACTATAATTCACAGTTTAAATTTTTTATCAACATTTACGTTTATATATCCATAACCGAATGAAAAATTAAAGTATATGTGTTTGAAAATCAAAGCTTGATATTCATAACTTTTAAGATTTATATGCTATAAAAGTTATGAATGAAAATGTATTTCAACTTGGGAAAAAAATTTGACACACATCTCTTTAATTGACTTTATTTTAAGTATTCATCGATATTTGATAAAAATTAGTTAAATTAATTAGTTCGTTAATAATATGTTAAATCCTAAATGGAAAATATATTTAATACTTTTGTCCCACTTAATATAAGAGCATTCTTATTATAAGCATTTTATTTCATATGTTTACCTATCTAACAAGTTAATATTTTAAAATATATTAATCAATCCTATAAATTTATTATATAACAATTACTAACTAATTACCCAACAATTACATTTATTACATAATTAACACTTTTAAGTTTAACTAATTTATTACATAAAAATTTTTGCTTATAAAGTTACAAAAATTTCACTCTTACAGTCTTTTTTTAAACAGTTTTACCAAACAATGTCAGAATGATCATTTTTCCAGAAACAGCTGCTCTACAGCTGTTTTCACACTGCTGCACCAAACAGACAACCATCTTCCTCGCAGCTGCTTCCCCACAGCAGCTTCCTGGGGCAGCGCAGTTACAACTGCGCAAACAGAGCCTTAATTATTGTAATCAAAATTAATATTAAATATTATTAATTTATACAAAATATATTTAAAATTAAAACTCTTATAATTTCGTTAGCAAGTTCACTTATGTTTTAACCTTTAAATATTAAATTAATTAAGTTTTATATCATGTTAGGTTTTTAATTGTTAGAAGAGTCAACATCAAGACTTATAGCAAATTTTTCGACATTAAGGTGAGTACTTATGTTTTAATACTATGCTGATATTTTACTTTTAGACTAAATGCATTTATTAATTCTACCATTATCTATATTGAAATTATTGCAACTCATGATTTTGAACTCTATTGAATTTTTGTTCTTATTGGACAAATGATATTTGCACATCTTTATTGAATGATTTGACTGCTATGCAAATAAGTAATAAATATTTTTTTATGAGAAAGTGATATTTTATTAAATACTTGTATGTGCATGATTGACTATGATGAAGTTATCACTTGATAATACTAGTGGATGAGCACTAAGGTACCCATGAACGTAAATGAAAAAGATACATTGATATTGAAGTATCATAAGTGGTATAAATTTATAAACGATGTTCCTATGATGGTTGTATAGGTATGAAATGATATTGATATAAACTCTTTGAATAACATGTTAAATATTGATTTATAAAGAAGCTTAACTGACACGAGTATTATTTTTATTTTATTGTATTGTTGTAGTCTAGAAGTATGAGTATTTACTGACTCGTTTAGCTTATGATTATTTTAAATTAAATTTTCAATTTAACTAAGCGATTAATGATGAGAGTTAGAAGAGAACATTTATAGAAGACGCGAATAACCAGTAATAAGGTAACATAAAACATATTGCTTTAATTCATATTGATTTGTGGTTCTTTCATTTGTTACTAGCAAAGTATAGAAGATGAATAATGATATTTTTATGTCCATCGTTGACTATCCGTTTCCATCTTAGTTAATTTCAAGCCTTGAGTCGGGTTGTGACAAAGAAGATCAGGTGGGGGGAAGGATCTGCTGTTTCAAGGTTTGTACAGCTACATAGCTGTTGGATCGAGCGGGGCTGCGAGGAGAAAAGAGATCGGAGTAGACGGTGAGTGTCCAAGAAAAGATCCGAAACTTGCGATTTATATGAACACATTTTCCACTTTGCAATGTGGTGATGAAGGATACGGGAGAGCGAGAAGGAATAACGAATACAATTGAGATGAGCTGAGAAGCGGAGAATAGGAAATTTCCAGCTACAGGAGATCTTCTCCTCCGCCGGAGACTTTAGTTTTTTTTTTTCAAGTCTCTCTGATGCTATGTTGATTTTTTAGAAATACACAGAATTATATTTTTGATATGAAAAGGGGGTATAAATACCCTTATATGAATCCTCAATTAGGAAAACGAAGAAAAATGAAATAAATGAAAGAAAAAATACAACACTTATATCTCCCAATTAATCAATTCATAATAATTATTTAGAGATTAAGCAAACAACATGAAATAGAAAAACCTAAAATAAGAATGAAAATAAATCCAATCCAAGAAAATAAATCTAAAATAGGAAAGGAAATAAATCCAATCCAATAAATTAAAGTTAATCCTCATAACTTACAAGAGGAGTAAATTATTTTCTAATATAACTTATAATAGTATGTATGGGTTATATGACTGTGGATTTGTGTCTATTGCACAGTAATTAAAATAGTGCTCCATTTTTTTTTTTTTGTTTTGAAACCTAAACCAATTCTAATGGTTGGAAGACATACTATATACTCAAATTTCGAATAAAAAATTAGATAACATACTATTTTCATCAAATATAATCCAATAGTTGGCAAAGAGAACTTTTTAGAGCATAGAATTTAAAGAATTTAATATACCGATCTTAGTAAAAAAGGAACTGATATTTTTAGGTATATATTATGAACTTGTATTTATAAACATGTTTTAACATCAAATCTTCTTCTTTGTGGATATACCTTTTTAAATAGCTTATTACCATGTAAAGAATATTATGTTAGACTTAACATTTATCTACAAATTTAAAAATATTGAAAATCATAAAATAACTATATTAAGTAGATTGATTGGCTATGCCAATTTAAAACCTTATTTTCATTTCATAACTATCACTTCATCTTTTTTTTCTATGTAAATTTTTGTTTCTTCTCATTATGATTATTTGTGCCTAATGAATGATTTTATTTTAATTTCTTATATTAAGCTTCTTATTTAGTTCTAGTCATAAATGTTTAGTGAAGACTTCTAATAATTGTTAGTTTTTATATAACAACTGAAAGTTAGACGTTAACATCAGTTCTGTAAAAGTTTATTTTTTAAAAATTTCCATTTTGATATATTCTAGTTTTTGTTGTAGAATGTTCCAGATGGTGCATTTGTACTTGTGTGCGCACATAGCATAAACGTAGCTCCACTTTAATGTATATGCAGCTTCTTGTTGAATTATAATTGCTATTTCTGCATGGCATTCCCTTGTTGAATGGCAACCTATTGCCGATGAACAGTATTTCAAAAGTCGGTGACGGTCAAGGGTGATAGTTTATGTAAGCACAAGGCTGGCATTTTACTGACATACATTTTGTTGCTGCTATTGTTGTTGAGTGCAGATTATTTTGACGCATGAACACGCAGATGCTATACTAGGTTTGGATGATATCCGTGGAGTGCAGCCATTTAGCCCAACAAATGATATTGACCCTACTCCCATTTACCTCACTCAATACGCAATGGAAAGGTGAAATTTGATTTTACTGAGCGGTCTTACTCATATTTCGTTATTCTGCTTCATTGCTTAGTTATGATATTCCAATATATCTGATTACAGTTTGTAGTCAACCTCCATTGTGTCATTCTGTCTGTAGCTTAATGTCATAGCAGTGATAGTAAGACGTCAGTTCCCTTTCTCTTGTTTCTCAACGGTTCTACTGATTTAGTTATGTAGGCTTTATAGTCGATTACAGTTCTGTTCTACCATATGGATTTTTTTTTGGGCACAGGATCAATCCTACTCAATCTAGTCTCCTCCACTAAACAAATTCATCTAGATAGGATGACATGGGCTTTGTTGGCTAACTTTGGAAATAGATTTGGTCTTCTTTTATATCTAACAAGTGAGTTGCAAGTATAAGCACCCATGTAACTTTTTTATACTTTGTGTGGCCTAACATCCGATTAGGAGAGTGCATGTTTTAGATTCGACTTATGTTAAGAAAGGCAGAGGTAGACCTAGAAAGACGCGACATATTGTATAAAAATGATCTTAATTCATTAGAATTAAATGAAAATATGCGATTGAGAAAAAGGATTCATGTAGCCGGCCCCACTTAGTGGGATAAAGGTTTGTTGTTGTTGTTGTTGTGCGACCTAAGATTATTTCATAAGCAATGAATGTTAGAATAATTGTGGTGGTAGAGAGAGTGCTTGTCTTAACATTGCATTATAGTCCCACACGCATAAGAGTTTTTATGTAAAAAACTTCAAAAAATAATAAGCACTGCCCTAGCTCAAGTACAATTCTACTATTTCTGTTAGAAATTGAAGTGATCCGCTTTGCTTCACTGTTAGATGAGATGAGATTATAATCTCTCAGTCGTATGTTGGTAGTCTCCTGCGATGATAGTGGAGAATGTTAGTGAGCTATGGTTTTCGTTAACAATTAGATTGGTATGTAGGCTTGTGCAATAGTTTCATTGATGATAGATGTCATTATCAGACAATTATTGACAATGGGTCTTAAGTCTGAGCTGTTACAATTGAAACGTCAATTAGTAATGGGTGATGGTAGATGATCTCTGTTCATCATCAGTGACAAAAGAAATGCGGTCTTCGATGGTGGTCAACATGTTTGCACTCCTTGTTAAAGGGAAGGCTGGTGGAGCACGAATGGCAGGAGAGAAGTATGGGTAAGTGAAATCCCAAAAGCAACCAATCAGGATTCCAAATAATAGTTGAAGCTCTAGGGTTTTCTATGTTTGAGAATTGTTTTTGTAATGCCTTGAAAGTGGAACCGACACTAGCCGGCTTGATATATTGAGGCAAAGACAGGAGAATCAGTTTGTTGCCTTCAAAAGTCACGATAACTAAGACGAAGGAAAGTGCCACAGACTATGAAAGAGTTGAATATGCTAAATAAGTTATGCTATTGCGAGTGAGGAGTTTTCAAAATTGATCTATAATTTGGAATCCTTATTTGATTTTTACCATCTATTTTATTTATGAAAGAGTTGAATCTGCTGAATTAAATCTATTGAGTCATGCTCAATTGTCCCTGTATAGTATTGCAATTGAAACTAAATCTTATGGGCTAACCTAACATATGGAAAAATATATGTAATATTGAAAATGCTAAATAAGGTAAAACAAGTGCCTGAGATTTATGTGCTTAACATGAAAAAAGTTGTGCCATAAGTTCATATGCTTAACATTGAAAGGGAAGTGCCACGGTTACCTTCTACTGGCAAAGATGAGAATTTTTGGACAGGAATTTTAATTTTGAAGTATTTAGAATTAGTTGTTTTAAATGATTCTGAACGTAGTTTTTTGCATAAATACCCGTTTAGGGAATAAATAAAGTAAGCTTTCTAGCCACTTTTTCTTTTCCATATAGAATTGGCCAGTACATCGATCAGCTTCATAAATAATTTAAGCATTGTAAGCAAGGTAACATGTATGAATATTTTAATGATTTATGAGTCTTAATGCTAATTATCATTTGCATTTTGACTATTTTGTTATGATTGTATATTTTATAATGATTCTTAAGGAGATTAGGAATAAATTAAGCAACGGTCACCAAAAATATTATTGAGGCTTGTTTTAGATCTTTGGATGTCAAGGCATATTATGTTGTTCTATTATTACTACAAAACTTACAAATAAAGTCCTGAAAAAAAAAAATCTTTACCCTCTCTTATAAAGCCTGTCAAGCAACAACAGTGAAGGAATCATGCATAATCAAATCTAACCGTATCGATAGAAATTGAAGTTTTTTAGTATTCTTTCAATGGTATATTACATTTATGAGAATAATTAAATTGTAATATAAGTCTATAGCTGATTGTGTTGAACATGAATATATAGTATGAATTTGAACTTAATACCTGAACATGAATTGAATCTGAGTCTGGCATTGCATGTGAACATGCAGTCATATTTGAAATAGAAATTGAGTGACTAAATGATACTATGCTGTCATAATTGGGGCAAGAAGTCGGTACACCCAAACAACACCTGATGTAATAATCCTATATAACTTATTTTTTACTAAAAAATAAAGAAATTCATATACAAATATTATAAATAATAAAAATAAGCTGGAAAAGATAAAATTTATTTCAATTGCATATTTAACAACAGTTCAAAAAAAAAAAGGAAAATAAAATGAAAGGAATACAACTGCATGAACAAAACTATCAAACCCAAAGAAAATACAATAACTAATATTTAATTTAAAAAGACAACATAAATCTAATTTTGAATAAGCTGCTTCTATGGCAAAGGTCTACTAAATACTCAAGTAGAACCTAATATAAGAAAATATTTTTTTAGTGATGTATCAAACTCAACAAATAACTACTGTTTATTAAAATATAAATGACAAGGTATTATAACATGCAGTATGTTCAATAAATAAGACGGTACACTATTATGAAGTGAATGTTACCAAGTGGTTATCACATCTCAATGGTACTATAATGCCTAATGAAAGTTGTCATATGAACCAAATTACTGTCTTATATAATGAACTATGATAAGTTATTTACAAAATTATAATGAATGGCAATTAATTTTACATATCTTAATGCACTCATTTTTAATCCAATCAGACCTCTTAGTGTTTGACTTAACAATTATTTCACTGCTCAATTATCTTTCAATTTATATATATCAATATTCGGCTCTACAAACATCCTGAAATATAAAAAAAGATGCACGCCAATTCAAAATTATATAATGGTTTAATGTAGAAATGTTACTCTGTGGGCTTGTCAGTCTGAGTATTTAACTATCCAAAAATGTTCTACCAACCTATACACCGTTTCATTCAAGCCGTAAGGATATTACATAAATAATATTACTAATATCATTAATATTCTTAGCATGATTATGGCATGAAAAAAATCTACTGCGATTCATAGAAATAACACAAGAAAAGTAAATACTACACCTACAATATTTATTCTAATGTGCATGGATATGTGCAACCATAACTTAGGGAAAATGTACACATGCAATCTGCTATGTCATTATGAAAAATAAAAATAAGTTCTACTAACATATATTTAACAGGTACAGAGCAGGAATAACAAACTTACAAAATAACTAAGCATCTAATACAAATAATATATTTATCCGCTAATAAATAATAGTTACCTCGAGACAAGCGATGCATGACTCCCATCTTATACAAGTTCAAAGGCTCGCTCATAGTTCACATACCATGTGAAATTTTATTTAATTGCAATCACATTAATATATATATATATATATATATATATATATTTATCACACAATATGTATGTATGTATGTATGTATATATATACATACATACATATCTTTATGGCTCTGCTAGGGTTTGGCCTGACGGCGAACCCCAATAGCTGTTACGGTTTCCCTGCTTCTTCTCCGACGTCTTTGCGCCTAACTTCTGTTGAGCCTGTCTGCGGCGCGGCCTTCCCGTCTCACGAGCTTTCTCTGATCGGCTCTGTGGCTCCTCTGCGGTGCGGCACATCTCTTCCCGTCTCGCGAATTTTGTAGTTTCCCGTCTTTCTGCTGCTTCCCGTCTCGCAAGCGGCTCGGGAGTACTCGACTTTGCGGCTCCCGCGTGTTCTCAGCTTCGGTCGACGCCATTTTTTCCGTGTTTTCTTCTTAAAGCCACACATAGCTTCGGACAAAACGTGCACAGCTGCCCTCACGGGTGTCCATGCCTCAGCTACACTTAAAGCATGCACTTTTCCTCTTTTGTTTGAGTGGGACGAGGACATTAAGAAACCTGGTAGGAGGATGAGAAACCTGCCATTTTTTTTACAGAAGTTGAAGGTATTCAACTTGCTTCCTCATGTCGTTTGAATTTGGTTGGGAAATTTCTATATGGTCATCCCAAAATGGAGTTTATTCTCAAGGAATTCGAACTTATGCACCTTGTTGGAGAGTGGAAAATTAGACTATTAGATGAGAGACACATTCTTATTCAAATTAATAATGAAGAAGATTACATACGCTTATTTGCTAGAAGAATAATTTGGGTTGATATCAGAGCAATGAATATTCTGAAATGGTCTGTGAAATTTGACCCACAAACGGAACCCCCAATCATTTTGATTTGGATTCACCTTCTGGTGTGCAATTTCATTATTTTTCTCAAAAAATGTTGTATTCTATTGCCTCAGCTTGTGGTAAGCCATTTAAGACGGATATTCATACTTTTAATCTTTCCCGTCCATCTGAAACCAGAGTAATTGTTGAAATAGACATTACTTCTTCCGCTTCTGAGGAAATTTGGTTGGACACACAACTTCATGGATATTGGCAGAAGGTAGAGATTGAGCATTTTATTTCGTATTGTCCGAACTGCGTATGTTCTCAATGTTATCATTTGCATTCCCACCTCAGACCAAAAAAATAAATTTTTCCGCTAGAGACAGTGATTCCAATTCCTCCTGATCAACTCCAAGTTATTGACACTGTCGATCATCAAAATGATACATCTGAAGACGTCACTATTTCCGCAAGAAATATATCAACCATTCAGTCTCCACATTGTTTTAGCTCCCCCGTCTTTGGAATCTCCTATCGTGGAGGCGAGGAAGATTCTTTAGACTCCGCTTGCCC